ATTGTTGTAACTAAGGTGGTTTTAAGATTGTCATTTACTTTACCCATCGGCGAATTCCGCATTTCGCGTAGCAATTGACTACGGCGCTTATCGCCAAGATCTATTTCGGAGAAGAGTTTTTTTTAGTTGAACACTTTCGGAATCACTCAAACGAGCAATAAGTGCTTCCTTTAATGCGGTATATTGATTTTCTTCGGGGGGTGACAAAACTATACCGTATTCAAAATTTTCTGTTCCAAGGCAGCAACGGTGATGTTGTACTTTGTAATTTCAGCCGAAACATTACTATCTATTCTTAAGTTGAGCTTCAATATGCGCAAACCATAATTTTGGAGTTTCATTCCAAAAAGGATGAGGTTTTACTGAGACACCTTCAATATATTTATAAGTACTTGGGTTATCGAGCTCTGTATTTCCAGTAATAGGCATAGCTTTTTCAACGGTTGCAATTGAGTTGGCAAAATCACGTCCAAAAGTCACCAGTGAAGCGTAATGAATGGTTTGAACTTATAAACACATTAATTACTATTTACATTTATTTACAATTTATGCATGACTAGTTTAGTTTAAATGCGGCATCAAATATTTAAGATGCAAATACGCAAAGATCAAATAATAGAACAACATTAAAATGCAATTCTGAAAAGTAAGAATTAAAGTTGTAGTTAAAACAAACTTAAAGTTAATAAATAATTATAAAAACAATTTATGCAGAATATGATGAGTGATGTCACGTCGCTTCAGTTCTCTTTTTACGTGCTTGAGATGTTGATCGACAAAGAGCGATTCGGTCAGGCGGCATATTTTTGCAAATATTCTCTCTCAAACAAAAATATGTGTAAAAGTTGACAGTGGTTGCAAATTTGATAAATCGATAAGGGTAGACTATATTTGACGGTGCCCCTTAATTCTCGCCAAGTTGTGATCGCGGTTGATCGCCAAGTTGGACGATGTTGAAACCCAAATGTGATTCTGATTGGCTTAGATTTTAGCGTTATTTTTAAATGTTCAACGGTATATGTAATTTCAGAGGTCCGTTGGTTCTACGTTGGATACCCGCTGGTAGGGTTACATTTGCTTCTGGTCGTAAAATTGACTACAGTGAATAAGATAAATCTTAAGTTTCTGTACAATTTGAATAGCAAAATAAAAAGCAGTGATTGACTGGTGTATGAATGAAGGTTTAATTAAGATATTCAAACAAACGATAAAGACAAGAAAAAGTAATAAAAAATTATAAAATAAAAGAAATGTGTGTTTGCAAGACCAATTTAATTAGTAATAGATATAAATGTCCTGTCTGTGGAAGTTGTTTTTTTTTTCCTTTTCCTTCTGTGCTTACTCCATTAATTTTTGGTTCGATTCAAAGTGCATTTTATTGGGTTTATTAATTTTTCTTATATTGGGTTAATTGCAATTTTATAAAGTTTTGGCCGATGTTTTGTTGAAATTTTCCAATGTTTTATTGAAATATCATAATGTTTTGGTATCCATTACTGTTACCACGGTGTTCCACACAAAAAGGAATGACGCCAAACATAAGTCGCCAATTTCGCCAGGGGACACCCTCAAGTATATTTTTACCAATCGAAAATTCACATATTTATTTTAAATAATAAAAAAATCAATAAAAATGAAATAAATTAAATAAGAAATATAAAAATGATAAAATTTAAAACAAAAATCTTTTTTTTAAATGAAAGAAATAAAATGAATGTGAATTCGAAAACTTTGTAATAATAAACAATCTAATAGTTTTCAAATGACAAATGTCAGCAATGAAACCCTCAATAACTGTATTTAATTGTGCTAACCTGAAATTGCATATTAAATATAAATAATTATTGAAAACGCGCAATTTGAATGATATTTGCCTTTGCCTTTATTTTTATTGAACAGTTTTCACAATACTAAATGCGTGATACAACCAATAATTGCGAAATCTATTCTCGTTGATTTTTCGTGCTTGTGCTCACCTGACATAAAGAAGCTTGCGCGAATTATAATTAAATATTAAAGTGTATGTAATTTACTTTTCTAAATGAATAGAGCTATAAGATAGAAAATATCACTGTTGTTATCTTCAAGATATTTGAGAACTGAATCGTTTATAGCAAAATTTAAAACAATGGCTAACTTTTAGCCAATCAGAAAATTCCATTTCGATTTTCGCTGAAACCGCTGGAACGGTTTGTCGCAGAGTGTTCTAATGTCGACAGTGATCTTCCTCGTGCTTATAACTATCTGTATGCCAAGTTTCATAGCTTTCTGTCGGATGGTTTAGGAGTATATGAAGGACAGACAGACACACATTCATTTTTATATATATAGACTAGCTGTACCCGTTCACACGTTGCTGTGTTTGAACAAAAAGGCTGTTTTGATAACTCAAACATAATTTATTAATGATCAAATGTACACAATACATCAAAATGAAAATTAACCATAAAATTATCCCTACGTATAATATATCGCTGGTTCAAAACTAAAACGACCCATCTGCAAGCATAATAAGTTTGCAGATGTGTCGTTTTAGTTTTGAACCAGCGATATGTACAAAACATAGATATGCATAGTTGATGGTAGAATAAACATGCTTCTTCACTTGTGATATTAAACAATATTGCAAACAATATCATCATGAAATGAATGATATTCGATGATTAATGGTGAACTTTATATTAGTAGTGCTTGTAAATATACAACATTTTTCGTTTTCCTGTCTGGTGCAAGAATAAATAAATTTGATGGTTTTCCAACTTGTGAACCCGCAACGTACAGCTGTCCATGTGAGAAGCATGGATTTATCACATTTAATCCATATACTTGCAATGATTGTCCCTGTGTTTTGTTAATGGTCATTGCAAAGGCTAGTCGTACAGGAAACTGTAGACGTTTGAATTCAAATGGAGTATTCGTTGGTATCATGGGAATGCATGGTAGTAGTTCATGTTCCCCTTGGTGTTTTCTATTTAAAATGGTTGCCTCAATTATGTTACTCATTAATGTTTTTGCTGATAGCCTAGTCCCATTGCATAATCGCAGTGGATTTATATTTCGCAGAAGGATGATTGGTGAATCAATTTTCAAAGATAAAATATGCGGTGGCATTCCTGGTAGATCCAATGAATTTACACTGGTGTGCAAAACTTAAGCAACAAGTGGTTTTTCGGCCACAGCTCCCCAACAAAGTATAAGATAGCCATGAAATTGCAGTATAATATGCACGTAATTCAGTAGAAGGATTATTTGCATGGAAATTTTAGAAATAAAACGTCGTAGGTGATGTAAGTGTACGCAAATCTTGCGGGTCGCGCAGGTCAAAGCTGTTATAAAAGGATGAAGAGCACCGTAGTTAAAGACATTCGTTGCAAGTGCAAGTGATTTGTTTTGTGAAACATGTCTTCAAGAAATCTTTTAGACGACTTTACTCGAGGAAGAATGATTGGGAAGCTTGAGGAGGGGCGTAGTGTGACCAGTGTCGCCGAAGAGTTCGGGATCAACAAAAGTGTTGTTTCGCGTGCTTGGAATGCCTTTAAAACTACTGGTACAGCTGTTCGGAAGGTTGGTGGTGGCCGTCCAAGGAAAACAACACCAAGAGATGACCGTTACATTGTCCTACAGGCGAAAAGAAACCGTTTTCAGTCAGCGAGCGCCATATCTCAGCAACTGTGCACAGCCACAGGACAACAAGTATCAAGATTTACAGCGGCCAGACGCCTCCACAAAGGTGGCTTATTTGCTAGACGTCCTGAACACTGTATACCTTTAAAATTTAGCCATCGGCGGAACAGTTTAGAGTGGTGCAGAGAACACGAAACCTGGACACCTCATCAATGGAGTCGCGAGCTCTTCACAGACTAGAGTCGTTTTAGTGCTACAAGCGATTCTCAACGTCAGTTGATCTGGAGAGAGGTTGGAGCTTAATTTCATCCCAATAACATCGCCGAAAGAGATCGTTACGGTGGTCCTGGAGTTGTCGTCTGGAGTGGCATAATGTTGAACGGGCGGACTGAGCATCAGATCTTCGACCGAGGTTCTGTACCTGGAGACTGCTACTGCAATGAGGTAATCCTACCCCATGTGCGTCTGTCCCGAGGGGCCATTGGACCAGACTTCATTTTTAGGGATGACAATTCCCGGCCACATCGTACTGCTAATGTTCAAGAGCTACTGGAAAGTGATGATATCACACGAATGGATTGGCCAGCTTACTCTCCAGATCTAAATCCCATAGAGCATGTGTGTGATGCATTAGGGAGACGTCTTGCGACACGACAGTATCCTCCTGGTAACACCCATCAGCTGAAAGATGCGTTAAAGGAGGAATGGAGACGTTTACCCCCAAGAACTCCTGGATAATCTGGTGCTTAGCATGGAGAGACGATGCCAATCAACAAATACAGTAAGGGGAGGGCATATCCCATACTAAGGAACATCTGCCAGTTGTACTTACGCTTCTTCAGGCAATCATGTGTAACGCCACTATATGTCAAATAAAACCCTTTTTTGTTCCATACCCTATTTTAAGCTTTATATGCATTTCTGCGCCATTATTCTTTTACCATCGTTTAAGTACAAAATAATGTACATCATATTCAAATTTCATGTCAATCGGATAATTTCTTGTAGAGTTATGACAAAAAACGCACTTGTTGCTTAAGTTTTGCACACCAGTGTAAAACTTCTATTGGATAATTAACTGATTCATCTTTATTGGCATCAGTATCTTTGGATTTATATGTTGATTCTTCATCAGATATTTCATTTTGAATTTTACAGTTTATTAAATTCACATCATTGTTTTTGGCTGCCAATATAGCTCACTCACTAACCCATTGATTATTTTTATAATTTTGGGATAAATTTGGAAAAACTTTGGCAATCAATTCATCAGTGGATTTTATAATGTGACAAAAGTTTTCTGGTTATGTAATACAGTGTGTGGATTCGTCCATTTCCATTTTACCATTCCCAATATCTAACAATTGTTTTGCAAATCATTCGGAAGATTCATCTTGATGTAATTGAACACGCATATTGGTTTTTAAAGATATTTTCTCCACATACCGCCATAACACTGATGATTTGAGACATGTATTCAATTCATATGCAGGTGTTGAACGTGGTATAAGTGGTAGAGTTTCTCCAAAATCACCAGCTAGCAAAATGAGTGCACCACCAAAGAGCTGCTCGTTTCCTCTCAAATCTTTTAATGTGCGATTGAGTGCTTCTAAGGATCTCTTGTGTGCCATGGTGCATTCTTCCCATTTTATAAGCTGACATGATCTTAGTGCTTTTCCCATCCCAGAACCTTTGCTAATATTACATGTTGGAGTTTCAATTACCTGCATATTTAATGGCAATTTCAATGCTGAATGTACTGTTCGACCACCGTCCAAAAGAGTTGCTGCAATACCAGATGATGCAATAGCAAGTGCAATATTATTTGATCTTATAGTTGCCAGAATAATTGAAATAAGAAAAGTTTTGCCAGTATCTCCAGGTGCATCTAAGAAATATAAACCACAACTGCTGTTAGTTATTGCATTTATAATTGTGTCATATGCTGTTCGCTGTTCTAATACCGATTTCGGCAGATTAATTCGAACCAATGTTTGTAATTCATTAACATCGAATCGCGTTTCTCATTGTATATCACGATCGAAAATGTCATTACCAGATCTATTTGGAGCAATCATTCCCAATTCTGTCAGTGATTTGTTGGGTATTGTCAAACATATATTCTCAATTAAAATCAATGCTTCATTGTATATATTTGATGTAAATTGAATGTTGGGATTAGCATTTATTCTACGCATGCGATGTAAAATGTCTTCACTCTTATAATCCTTATATTTTTCCCAAAGATCCTTTGGATTAGCCGGAAAACATGTAGTTAGTATGCTGGAAAATAGTGTACGTATCTGCTGTGGTTGAGCTTTATTAGAAGCATCAGCGAGTGAAATATCCCAATGAGCATCGTTTTCTAAGAGGCTTAATTTCTGGCAAGCCTCACGAAATGCAGCACACACATGGCCATTGACTGTTTTTAATTCTTGGAAAGATGTTGGTCCACGAACATTGATTAATAATAATCTTAGGTAAGAGCATTCTGCGTTATTTGAACGTAAAGTGTACAGATGACCCAATGCATCGGTGGAATATAAATTTAGGTGTCCTTGTGCTGCTCTACCTTGTTCACGACGCTGAAATTTTCTTGTTGATGTATTCCACGTAAAATAAGTTGGTACCTCAGAGTACAGTAGTGTCCTTGCAAAGGTATCATTTCCACATAATGTGAAAAATTCAGCTAATGTTGTTGGCTGCGGTGACATTGCTCTTGCACGTACATTTTCTGATGTAAAATACACACGCTGTCCGTTTTCAAGATGTACTGCTAAATGAACAACCATTAGATATCACTCATGAATAGAAAATGATAAAATACGCCATACAGCCTCATTGCTACTTATGTAGCGTCCCATTTGATATTGGGTGACTTCATCGTTAAAAGCAGTTGTATTTTCTACTGCATACACTGCCATATCGCCTCCTTTGTTCACATATTTGCAAATATATTTTATATGCAGTACTCAACGTTTATGTGTGCGTTACACGTTTTCAGTAGTAAAGGAGAATATGGTACAACCCAAAGATTATCAACGTCAATAGTATTGTTGAGTACTTTTTAATTCTTAACGGTGGTTTTAAATAATTTAATTAATTCATTATACTGTTCAAACAAATTTTGTAATTCAGCGACAATATCTCGTTTAGCACTCATATTCAGTTGACGCCGTCTGTTGATTTGTTCGTCAGTATTTCCCATAAAATATATCTGAAGATATTTGTGATCAGCATTTGGCAAGGGTAGTAGTGATCCAGCATGGTGATAAATTTGCCCTTGTACATTAAATGTTAAAATATAATTTGCGCTAACGATATTCGTTGCTCCGAACGATGTCATTTGGAAGCATGAATTGTACTTGTGTATATTTCTCAAAAAATTTTTTGATTGACTTGTTTCACCTGATACTAAAGTTAGTAATGGTTCAGGTGGTGAACGCAAATCTGGTAACTTTACTTTTCCACCTGCACAGCACATACCTGGTGTTTCATTTTCAAATTTTTGAGCACCACAATATGTACACTTTTTTATCCATTTTTCCAATAATTACACTTGGATGAAGACTGTAATTGTAAATGGGATTGTAATTGTAACCACATAAATTCAAATCAGTATGTATCGTTCGTCTTGTCTGTGTCCCGCGAATTTGATTCCTTTGCTGCCTTGCTTGCCTCTATTCATTCGTTTCTAATGATCGAGCAGGAGCAACGTGAACTCGATCTCTTTCTTACCTTGCTTGCCTCTGTTCGCTCGTTTCTAATAATCGAGCAAGATCAGTGCGAACTCGATCTCTTTCTTGCCTAGTTTTTCTCTGCTCACTTGTTGCTGAAGCTCGTTCTTCTCTTCTCCTTTTTGCTTGATTTGTAGATCGACCAATGGCACTTCGCTTTGGTGGCATAATTGAGTGGTTAAATAAAACGTATTTCCAAAAAATATTAATAACTAGTGGGCTGTGCCCCCTGCTCGCTAACGCTCGCCAACCCCCAAAAATTGCTACGCAATCTCATATGGTTTGCTTCTCAAACCAAGCTCGCTTCGCTCGCTACTATTTTAGGTACATTGCAAATGCACAAAACTCTAAGAATTCAAAACAATAATTCAAATCCATATAATAACTTTTTTTTTTAAAAGAAAAATTACATCTTTTTAGTAAATACTAAGTCATTAAAATAAATTTGAATTCAAATAAATGACATGTAATTCGTTTAACCTATTAGAAATGTGCTATAGTATAAAATCTTAAGATAAAATTTCTAAAACTGATATCTCTTTAAAAAAGTTAAAATTTTGGCTATAATTAAGTCTATTAAAAATTGAAATAAG